ATATATATAAAAAAATTTTGTTCTGATAATTCTGTCTACAGGAAGGCTGTATACGACAATAAAAAATAGTATTAAGCAATTCTAACCTGTTTCAGAACACTCTGTATTTCATCCATAACAGTAGCTAAATTTTTGATTGTCTTATTCAGCTGACCCTCAAATTGCAAGTTTTTATCATCAGAGATCTTCAAATTTTCTTGCAGTTGACCGAGGTCCTTCTTCACTTCTTTCAGCTCCGCAGATAGACTTCTGTTAGAATTCTCCAGTTGTAGTATGGTCTTTTCATCCTCGTCTTAGAAAGGAGGGAAGAAGGAAAAAAGTTAAGTCACTTCCAGTGACACGTACTGTGCATCTTAACATGCCATTTACATGCCAACACCATAACTACTAATTTTTAGAGAATACCGAATGCTGCATTGCATTACAATTTGATAACACTCAAAGTCTGACTACATTTGGAAGTCTTACATTCAACTTGAATAAAACATAAAAGCATTTCAGCATGGTGACAGTGTGCAAGGCCAAAGAGCTTGGGAGATAGAAAATAAAAAATTATGGTAAGAAAACAGTCAAGAAATTTAGACCACAAGTGTTACTCAAATTGGTTTATCTACTTAAGACGACTTGCATCCATGTAAGCACCACCTTCAAAGTAATTGTCCCACCTGTTTTTTCTTCTAGTAGCTGAAGCTTTTGTTCTATTTCTGCCCGCACTCTTTCACTCTTCTCCAGTTTCTGTAAAAGGCTCCCAACATCCACCATAGCTCCATTGTACACAATGAGGCCAACATTTTCTTCTATGGCTTTTGATTCTTGCTTTACAGTAGGTGATGGTAACAGTAATCTGTTTCCTGTATTACATTAAGTAACATTAGGAAATAATCATTCCATCATTTTTCAGTTCAAGCGACCAACCTCAAAAGCATCTTAAAAAAAAAAAAAACCCAAACCCCACAACAAACAACAACAAACACCCAAACAAAAAGCTAAGAATAAACTCAAGTTTGCTGGTCTATCCCTCACATTTCTCTCCTCCCTCCTTACCCCAGTTCTTACCCTCCCTCCCCTGCATAGGGGCATGCTCTTTTATGACATTCTTCAATGCCTCCTTCCCGCATTAATGTCTCCAGAAATCAGGCTCTGTTCTACTACCTACAGCACTGATCCTCCTGACTGCAAAACTGTTGTGAATGCACCAGTACTTGATATTAACCTCTGTCCTCCTTCCTGTTCCAAGATATTTTTATCCATACAGATATGTTGGAAGCCAGAAATAATGTAATTTATGAACTGCCCAAGATCTACTTTTCCAGACTGGCAAGTTCCCTGCAGTTACTTTCTTCAACAAAGCAAGTATCTCAGTGCACTCATCATTTGCACACAAACAATTCTCTGGAAGTTTGTGGCATAAGAAAATATAATACCACCTAACATATCTTCCTGTAGTTCTTCAGACTCTTCTAGGTTTTCTTCATCTTTAGAAGTGTCTGTTAGTCTTCTATAAAAGCAAGATTCTCTAAGCACTACTTTACTAAGTAGCTTCTTGACCTACAATACAGCCATGGAAAGAAATACGGTGTTACTTAATACATGCATTGTATAACCTGAATAAGAATGTTTTAACTTTGAAAACTTAAAGAAATTGCAAAGCTTTTTGAACTTTAACATACTGGTACTTAAAATGAAAGAAAGCTGGGGCGGGGGGGGGGGTAAGGAAAACATGACATTTTGAGACTAAAGGTACATATACAGTATGGGCATACGGACAGCTGCAAACTGCACCTTTTCATTCCAAGATAATTTACAAAAGATTAAACTAGTATTTTATGGTAAATATAATGTGACTACATAAAAATCAGGGATGAAATATGTAAGCAACAGCTTTTAGAAGCTGAATTATATTCCTCCCACTTACAGCACTCTTGTAATGTTTTCAAAGATATTTCTTTTACTATACAAAACCTGAGCACGTGACAGGTGTAGTCCAAGAGTGTACAGTATCTCCTCCATGTCCTTCTCCAGAAGATATCCACAATGACTTTGATCAAAATAAACAAAAGCCATCAGAAGATCTCTATTAACAGTTACCATCTGTGTCTTGTCTTTCTCCTACAGAAAATTCATTATGGGATCATTAAGAAGTTAAAATATAATTTTTCCATCATTACCAAAACCAAAACTTACAAGTTAAAAGTTTTCCTCTGTTCATTTTATTATTACTTTCAGTTGAATGATTAATATAACCAGCATTTACCTGCTGAGCTCAAATATAATGTAAACAAGCTATTTATTCTTTCAAATATTATAAGAATTACAGCACAGTGGACAGTAACATCTGCTAGACACACTTTCCTTTTGTTCATGCTAATATGTCAAAAAATGAATAATTAACCTAACAATAGTAAAACATCCCTTCTCTCAATCACATATTTTACTGAACAGCTGTTTCCAATGCGAAATCTGCATAAGCATGTAATGAATGAGCATCTAGCTCCCACAGCTACAGCAGTTCTGCAAACTGTGTTTTCCCATTATTTCTATTCCTACATCTATTTTTCCTTGAAGAAAAAAATAAAGAGAATCAGAACCTTGTTTTATTCTTGCATTTATAAATAAAATTTAAGTGTAACAAATCAAGCTTATGCTGTTCCTTAATCTTAACTATGGAAACAAGGTACTGGCCTCACACAATTGACCTGACACAAAAAGCATCGATTTTCTTGCAGGGAGATGTAGAAACACCACGTAACGATTCCAAGCTTGACAACTGAAAAGCCAGTTTATCTATCAAACTAAGCTTCTCTTTTCTTATGTAAAAACACAGCAGTTGAAAATAACGGATAAAATAATCGCATCTGCTGCCTCTAACACGCACATACAGCATCAGTCCTCACATCCTTCTGACAGATCAGTATGAACACTCAATGTTTCAGTCCAGAAGTACTGCTGAAGGAATCAAGGAGTGCAAATAGGTCTTATGATAAAAATGAAGTCAATATCTAATTAGGACACCTCTAATAAGGCTATATGTAGCTGTTCAGAAAGGTGTTAATTACTTTATCTTTGGATGACCTCTCTTTGCAATGCCTGTTTCCCTCTCTTCTGTCCTCCCGTTTGTTCATTTCCTCCTCATCCCGATCTGCAAAACAGAAAGAAAATTAAACACACCCACAGAAAACAATTTTATAACTATTATCTCAAAGTACATATGCTAATTTAAAAAGTATACATAAATCCCCGAATACATGAAATTAATGTATTTCACTGAAAAATAATAATAAACCACCCCCCAAATGGCCTTTAAGTGAGTCCTGTTAAATTTTGATTTTTTATCTGGTCTTAATTTGACGTAAGTCATTTGTCTTTCTTTTTCTGCCCCTTTGGAACAGCTGAAACAAACGCTAACTAGGCCAAAATAAGTTCTGCCAACATCACTGTCTACTTAAGCAGTGTGCAGAAAATTACCACAATTCTCCCTAATGAGGCTTGAGAGAGTCTACATCCAACTGGTTACTCTTATTAGGAAAAAATCAGTACTATTTACTCTGAAATATTTTTATACCATGAAACCTGTATCAACTATGCAATTAAAAGCATCTGTTTATATGCATGTCTGAGCGTGGTATTACTGATCCTATGATCAGTAGATTCTCCATGAAATTACAGATCACATGGCTTACTAGATGTGAATTACAAACTGCAGGTTTTTTTGTTTAGAGGTAGACACTAACATAAAATAAATCTAGAATCAAGAGAGAAAAAGGAGTATGACGACTTCAGGGATGGATTATGGCATGCAGCTCTGTACCTTATGTGTAAGTCTTTAGTCAGAGAATCATGTCCCAAGTTCAGCTTTAAGCTTCCCTTTCTTGTGAGGAAAATTTTGGACAAAACTACATATCACAACATTTGTCTGATTTTGCAAACATGTTTCTGAGAACCGATAGCTTTCTCCCACACCTCCATGGACATGATGGATTGTTCTCAGCAACTCTGACTGGCAATGGCACAAGGACAGACTATGGGAAGTAGCAGCACTTGTACACAACAGATAAGCCCAGGGTGCTCTCACGGCCAGATTATAAGAAACAGTTATTTTGGAAATCACAGATTAGCACCAATTTTTTAAGGCTGGTGCAGTACTCTGCCAAAAACACAACTAAAAAAGCAGGTTAGAAAATGCAAGGACTGCAGCACCTAGGTAGTTCAACCCCACGCCTCCAGCAAAAACTCCACAAAAGGATGAAAAGCCTGAACAAGTACAAGCCGAAAAGCATACATCTTATGCCTTCCTGAAGCTCTGAGCAGGGAAAAAGGGCTGCTCCCTGGAGACAGGAAAGTTCCCCAGTCCCTTTCCCCATTTCTTCAGGCAAACACAGCTCCATCGAAACAGAAATCAACTCTTCATATCATCATGTAAAGGGCACCCCACATTTATTCTGTCTTAATAAAAACAGGATGACATTTCAGAACTGAGAATAGGAAGTTAGGCACGTAATAGTGGCTTGGTTTTTCAGAGGTGCTGAATACTCACATCTCCTACTGACTTCAATGGGAGTTGCGAGTGGTCTGCATTCTGAAAAAAATAAAACCACTTCTATATACATGCCTTACTTTGAGTACCACGGCTAGTTTATATCAACTATATTCATACAATGCCAGAATTACTAAAATTAGTCTAATAATGCAATTTTAAGTTGTCTAGTTCCAGTGCATTCTCCAGCTTGAGAGAACATATTCAGTTTCAATAAAGTAGTATTTTTGAAAGCCACAAAATTCATAATTCAAAATACCTTCATCGTCATCTTCAGCATCTTCTGCTTCCATCGGATCATATTCTTCTTGATTATTGTCATCTTCAGTTTCTTCTTCATCTTTAGAATCATCTTTCCTTTTATCTTCCCTCTGTAACAGAAGTTCCTAAAAATTTATCGAGTCAGAACTAAATAACTAGGAAAGTAAAAAACCTCACTACCATTCATTCGAAATTTGCATATGTTAATATTTAGTCGCTTAAAAATCTATATGATATAGCTGAACGTTAAAATACCATTACCTGTAGAATTTTTAAATTCCTGAATATTATTGAAGCATATTTTAAATAGATCAACAAGTCAAATCAATTAACTAACACTACAAAACCTGAGTTTTGAAAGCAATAAAGTTAAGTTCAAATAGAAATAGTTTAATATTGATCCAGACAGGACAGAAAATACATGAACCAGCTCCAAACCTTCTTTTCGTCTCTATCTTCTTTTTTGTCTTTATCATCTCCAGATTTTCTCCTCTTAGGTTTTGGATCATCTGTTTCATCATCTTTTTCTTCTTTTTTTTCTTTTCTCTCATCTTTTTTGCCTTTTTTGTCTTTTTTGTCTTCCCTCTCTGGGAGAGAAATCAACGCTTTGTAAATTCTGACACCGAAATCTCTCTGAAGCATTTCATTGAAGAGCTCTGCAAACAGTGATACCTGCACAAAAGAAGAATGAAAAGAGAACTGACAAAAAGTTTTTAAAGTATGTATTAAAAATTTGTACACCTGTGATTAAATAGCTCTGAGGTGCTACCTTACCAACTTTCACCATATCAGGATTTTATGTAGTGTCAGATTTCTTACTATCTGCTTTGAATATGGAAACCTTGAACACCTTTATAATTATGCTTCTTTCCTGTACTCCAGTGGTGTAGAACCTAGACCAGCTGTATAAATGATAAACTCAATTCCATATCTGAAAACCTGCACATTTCTTCTGGATATTATACAGTGACTATACAGCTATTGTAAACCAAGTACCAAAGACTGGACAATTGTTTTTTCTAGGTATTGCACAAAGAAACTAACTTATTCAAGTTTAATTTTGCCATGTTATCATATACTTTTACAATTTCAGAATACAGCAGTGATAACAGAATTAAAAAGAAACAAGAATGGCTAACTGCAAGTAACACAGCTAAATTACCTCAAAGGAATGTTCTTTATTATCTTCTAATCTATAGTCCAGAAGAACGCTAAGAGACATAATGCTACAGTCAAACTTCCCACTCTTTGCTGCCCAGTTAGGATGTACAATGATTGCTGGTTCATCAGGCAAGATGTATCGTCTCTCCCGCCGCTGACGTTCCATTTCTTCTTGACGTTTTCTTTCTTCTTCCTGAAAAGAGGCAAAAAAATAACACAGCATATTCCAAAGATGAAGTTTCAGTCTATAGACCAGTTTTTAAGACTCACTGCTTTGAAGGAAGCGAAGGAAAGCCTAAGCTGCTGAATGCAACACAGAAGACAGAAGTCACAGACTAGAATTTCCAGAATGCATTCTGCATCCACTGCCAACACTCACCTGTAACAGCTGCAAACTTGAGTAACATTAAGCAAGACATACAGTGTTACTTAGCCCACGAGCACTGAGCACTTCACAAGTATCTTATGGTGCTAACTGCAGCATATTTATTCAACATTGGAAGGACTCAAGCTAGTTCACTTCAAGAAATGGCTTGCAAACTAGCAAAGGAACCAATGCTCCTGAAGGGACTTTTTTTGTCTAGGGATGTTTTTAGAGCCGTACAGTACAGTAAGCTGTCTTATTCCTTACACAAGAAGAGTAAAGGCTTTGAGTATCATCTTCTCAACACAGCTTTAACAATTACCAGATGACAATTTATTCATCTCTTTTGATTATGGGAAATGAAATCTCTGTAGATAAAACTGATGCACATCAAACAAAAGGTTACTAAAGGTAAAATACC